TGACCGAACTCGTTTTTTTATTTTCAAGTTGATTCTCAACTTCTGCCTTATAGATTTTAAAGTAGTGTAGAGCCTCATATTTAGTATTTAAAAGATATACATAACAATATCTAGTAGAATCATCTATCAGTGTCATGAAGTATCTTTTTCCACCTTTACTCAATACACCATTCATCTCACAAAGATCAGAATGTATGAGTTCTAACGGCGTCAAATGTCTCTCCTCCGCAGCCTTATGGGGCTTGCGAGGTTACTTCGCTTGCACACACGAATGACACTTAGAACCTTTGGCTAAAGTGAAACTTGGGATTAAATTCAATTTTGCTAACCGCGTCATACTACCAAAACCAATGTGACAAAGACGTGAATGCCAAACTTCTATTTCATTAACACTCGAATGAATATTGTTCACAACTTTATTACAAAAATCAGCGGGGGAAAAGCGGAACAGACCTCCGCATTCATAACCTTTTCCAACAAACAGTTCATATTTTGTAACAACTACTTTCTTAGACTCGAATACCAATTTAAACCCTTCTCTACATAGAAGGGAACCACTAACGAGATTCTTCTTGATGGTGGGGACCAGTGGTAGTGCCAGGAATCCAATCATGTGTAGTTAATTGAATGTTGTGTAGTCAGATATATGCATTTATAAGATTTTTTGGCATGATTTCTACTTGATGCATGTAGTTTTTGCAAAAAGCTGTGTAGTCATTTGACTACCCAGCCCAAGTGTGGCTTCGCCACTGGCGGGGACATGCTGCACGTTCTTCAGTTGCACGATCCTTCCTAAAGTAAACTTCAGATCGACCGTGCCAACACCATGAATAGAAGCACTCGCGCCGTTCCCCATCAGTACAGACCCGTTCCCTGTGGCCTGATAAGAAGAAAACAATGAAATGTCAGCACACACATGAATATTTGCACCTGTGTCAATCCACCAATTGGTAGACTGACAAACTGAAAATACCAGTAAACAAATTACCGTACCCAGATGGCCCACTCTCATCGTTGCTAACAATCATGTTGACAGTCTTGGAGTCCTGTCCTGGCTTCTTAAACTTGTTTGGGCACTTGGCAACCCAATGTTCATATGAACCACAAGTGAAACAACCACCTTTCTTCTTATCTTTCTTGAAGGTCTTCTTGCCCTTCTTGTTAAACTCGGTATTCTGTTGGACACCAGTCTTCCCCTTAGGCTTGTGAGGGTTCAAGTTCTTCTGCACCACATTGGCAACAGAGGTCCCTTCGGTCCCTTTTCCTTGCGAGTCCTTTGCCCTTGAATTCTGCTCGACACTCAGATGACCAAGGACACCCTCAACTGAGAATTCACGCCTCTGATGTTTTAGAGTAGTGGCAAAGTTCCTCCGGGAATTGGGTAACTTAGCGATAATGCAACCCGCGACAAATTTGCCCGGCATCACACACTTGAGAAGCTCAAGCTCCTTAGCAATGCACTGTATCTCATGAGCCTGTTCCAATACAGAACAATTTTCGACCATTTTGTAATCGTGGAACTGCTCCATAATATACATCTCGCTTCCAACATCCGTTGCGCTGAATTTAGATTCGAGCGCCTCCCACAAGTCCTTGGCAACCCACATATGTAAGTATGCATCAACCAGCTTATCTCCGATCACGCTCAGAACACATCCAACAAAGACGGCGGTGGCCTCCCTGAACGCCTTCTCCTGTTCAGGAGCGATCGTTCCCGTGGGAGTAACACCGGCGACCCAGAACACATTCATCGCCGTGAGCCATAAGACGGTTTTAGTCTGCCAACGCTTAAAGTATGTTCCCATAAATGGGGCTGGTTTCAGTGCAGCAGCAAAACCATGGATCAAAAATTGCCTACACATATTAGGTTTTTGGATTGATGAGAAAGTAAGCAATTGTTCGATTAATTTAATCCAATAATAAATCATGAACATGACATAGGCAGTGCTAATGACATACTAAATTTTGATAATGTACGCACGTACTAGGCAGATAGTAGAAACATCTACGCAAACCACTAGTACTGCAAACATGAAAGTAAACAGGAGCGGGGTAAATGTGTTATATCCTCCAGTAGGCCAGTCGGCCGTAGCAGCAGCGGAGGCGTCGGCCTCATCGGCGATCCTCTTGTCAGCAGCGGCCTTCTCGGCAGCCGCGCGATCAGCGTCAATGCTCATGGTGAAGACGAAGGTGACGCGGAAGTAGTCAACGTAGATGAAGTAGTTGAACAGAGGCGAGCAGTCGCATAGGAGACGCTCCCCAAAAACCTAATCGCCTCTCTCCCGTACAGGAGCAGGAGAAGTGGGGTTTCGGAGGCCTGCTCTCCCGTCAGCCGTGTACGCGGTAGACGGGATGGGATCACCTAGGGCAGCAACAGTGAAAGGAACGACCAGGGAGCAGTGGAGGTGTGAAGCGTTGTGTTTTTGGCTGAGCTACGATGCCTCATATATATAGCCAGTCGGGTAGGAGAACGGTCCAGCAATAAAACCGTTTAATTACATAAACGTATTTATTATGGACGTTTCCATTTCTGCAATGAATATGACGTCTCATATTCATTTTGTGTCTGTAATGGACTCTCCAATTTTGACCGGTAAAACATTGCATCGGCTTGTTCCCTTAACCCGCGGCGTGCGCGTGCGTCGTGGCGAGGCAGGCGGCAGAGGAGGAGGAGCGCGCGTGTGGAACACCTCTCCTTCCTTCACCAACTCATACTAGTGGCAGAAGAGCTCACCTTATAAATTGATGTACATCTCTCTCAACTAGCCATGTGGGACTAAATTTCCCACCACTCCCTTGACAGCATGGGCCCTTAGGGATTTTCCTGAAATTGTTAAGTGGGCCATTAGCCCAACTAATATTCAGCAAATACTTCCGACGACATCCTTCTTCAAGATGAAGTAGTCATCATAGACCCATAAACCATTGTAGAGGCGAACAACACTCGATGTCACTTGATTGATCCCTTGTAACAAAACATGTTACCCCACATGTTGTGTGTCTGCAAGAACCGCCTTTATCATCGCCGTTTCATTCTCATATTCGTCTTCACCTGATAAGGACGAATACATGAGGTTCCCGTAGAAGTACTCCGTGTCCGGATGCATCGTGTTTGCTTCAAAGTAAGGACAAAGAAGTCAATTTTTTTGTCTATGACATTCGGCCGAACACTTGTTGGGCATGGTGTCCTCCATGAACGACATCTGAAGTGGCAGAAGGTATATGGAGAACTGTCGGGTCAAGGGTGGTTCCACAGTGTTGCTGGTCTAACGGTGGAGGTCCGTCAAGGCCTCGGCGGTGGCGCAGCGACGACGTTGGATCTGGGAGGTAGCGGATCCAGAGAAGGAATGAGGGACGGAGCGAGGAAAACAAAGGGTCTGGGTTGGGTTTTTGAGGCTTCCCCAATTTCGTTGCAGATCGTCTGGAAAATAAATAGATGAATTTGAGAGAAGCGGAGCTAGCTCGCCAGATTTTGTTGAACTTAGCTCAGATAAATGGTATATAAACTGCAATGCACATAAAGAAACATTAAATAGAATATAAAAAAGACAAGAAAAAAGGACCCCAATAACTGACGAATGTCAGTTAAGAAGGGTTGGCATTTGCAGGCGAATTTCATCTTTGTTTTTAGTCATAATAGAGGGATGACAACTTCTTTAGAATATAGTATGTCGGTTCCTTACAGAGAAGGCAAATTTTGTTTGTAAACTGGGACTGTTTGATCTCGATCAAACAGCTATGAGGGGAGTCACTGGAACTGCCAGAAATTTGACGTTCACCGATATCATTATCGAAAACAAAATTGATTTGTCAGACTGCGAATAGTACCAATATGGCAATGCGTTACTGTTTATATCCCAGCTTTGAATTTGGCAATGTTCATAGTTTGGCTTATCTGCACCTTTTTACTATGAAGGTATGTAGTATGATAATACTTATTTTGTTTTAATTTTTTCCTTTCCGGTTCCACTACCGCTGCAGATTAGAACCTGACAACGCCACAAAAAAAGCAAGAAATGGTGAACCGATCAATTCAAAGCACCCCCGCCGCTTTGCACGGCTAACAGAAGTTGGCACCGAGCAAAAGCAAAAGCAATCTTGATTTCGACACAAGTAGGGGGGTCTGAACTGTCTTCCATATATCACTTTTCTGTTCATCCCCTGATCCGATGAGGTGCCAAAGCGGTTTCCACTTGTCCTCGCTCCACCTCCCCGCGTGCGTCGTCGGCGTCGCGATCCTCGGCCGTCGGCTGCGCGCTCGGTGCTTCAGAATTCGGTTCCCGGAACGTAATTTTGGACTATGTAGTGTAGTGCACCTCGCATGGCGGCCCCCCTTGCCTAGCACGCCCGATCAGCAAGACTTTTTTTTTTTTGGTGTGTGTGTGTGTTAAAAAAACGCTTGTTTTTGCAGCCCCGTCTAGAAGCGTGGTGGATCCGGGGAAGGAAATGGTTTCTGTGGGGACGAGCGAACGGGAGGGAAGTTCCTCGGCTGTTCGTGGCAAACAGAGGAACGTGAATAATCCACGGAAAGAAAAGAGAAGAAGAATCGAAGCGGGGATGCCGTTGAGGCGCAGCCAGCCGGCCGTCGGGACCGGACGAGGCAAGCCCAAGGAGAACGATCGACGACCACGGACGGGCATAGTAAAAGACCGCGTCGTTGTCGATCGGGGCCACGGCCTGCGCGCCTACGCCACCGGTGCCGTGGCCCCGCGTGCCGCGTCCGTGCGTGGCCAGCACCAGCGGCTTCCCTTCCAAGCAACCGAATCCATCCAAGCACGGCTCGGCCTCGCTTTCCCTTGCTCCTCACGCCCACGCCCCCGGACGCGTCGCCCCTCCTCCCCACGCGCATTCGCCTCTCCTTTATAAACGCGGGCCACGCCGCCCGCCACACACCAGTCACACTCACACGGGTTCAGACACATCGCCTCGCCTCGGCCCGCTGTTCGCCGCCACCAGCTAGCTAGTCCAGCGCCACCGCCAGGCAGCCCACGGCCGCAGCAATGGCGCGTCTCGCCACCATCCTCAGCTTCGGGGACCACGCCGAGGAGGGCGCCGGCGCCTTCACGGAGCCGCAGGAGGACTACCAGCAAGAACACGACGACGACGACGACGCGGCGTCGGACGCCAGCGGCGACAGCTTCGAGTTCGCGTTCGCGCGGCCGCTGGCGCCGGCGGGCGGGGAGGCGCTGGCCGACGACCTCTTCGCGCACGGCCGCATCCTCCCGGCCTACCCGGTCTTCCACCGCCGCCAGGCCCACGACGACGACGCCTCGGCCTCGGCCACCTCCGCGACGGCGCCGCCCTCGCCGGACACGTACTGCGCGTGGGCGCCGCGGTCCGCGCCGGGGTCGCCCGCGCGCGAACCGGCCGCCTTCCCCAAGAGCGCGTCCACGGGCACGGGCGAGGCCGCGCGCCGCTTCCGCCTGCGCGACATCCTCGGCTCCGGCGGCCGCTCCCACAGCGACGGCAAGGAGAAGTTCCTCTTCCTCCAGCCGACTCCCGCCAAACCCAAGTCCAAGACGAGCGCATTATCCGCCGCGTCGGCTCCGGCCAACAAGAAGACTTCGCAGCAGAAGCAGGGCAAGAAGAAGGGCGCGGCCGCCGCTCCGACGGAGATGGACATGGCCACCGCGCACAGGCTCTTCTACAGCAAGCCCGGAGCCGCGGCCGGCCCCGGCGGCGAGAGGACGACGACGACGACGAAAAAGTCGTACCTGCCCTACCGGCCGGCCATCGTCGGCTTCTTCGCCACCGCGCACGCGCTGCGCCCCAAGCACCACCCCTACTAGCCATCACATCCCATCCCCTGCTCCGCTGCTGCCACGATAAATCTCATCAAATTAAATTAGTTCGTTAATTCGTTCTTTTGTCAGATTCCACGCTCCCGGAAAAAAAGAGATTCGGTCAAATCGCTGGTTCTCGTTGGTGTGTAAATATAAAATCGCGTGCTTTCTTGACCCTGAACTTGTCAATTTCCAGCTACGGCACGTACCCTATAGTTTACTGCCAATTGTGAATCCATCTGTCTTGTAAATTAGTCAGCTAATTCACCCGAGACCAACAGTTTGGTGTAGATTAGTCATCAGTTAATACGAGTTGGTGAGTTTGGATAATCTACTGCTAGCAGTAAAAGAAACTGACCTTTCTGGACTCTGAACTCGTCAAATTTGGCGCTGCATTTCCGTGTCAGCTCCGCAGGGCTGTGCATGCGTCCGTCCGAGCTGATCCTGTCTCGCGGATTACCGCAGTTTGTTATTCCCGGACCAGTACAAGTTGGCGAGTTTGGATAATCCATTAGAAAATCCGAGCATTCTCGGTTGGAAAACAACCATGGATTGACCGTTCTGGGTCAAAGGATTTGCGTTTGAGGGAGGAGATTCCGTTCCGTCCGAAGTAGGTGGCTGCGAGGAAATATTCCACGGGTTGCACGAGGGGAGTTGCCGGGGAGCTAGCTGGGCCCGACCCTACGTATGCGCGTGCTGGTTCTTTCCGTTTGTGTGCATGATCATCTATCTAGTATGTATGAAAACGCGGTCAAGGTTCGTTGTGAACGTGCACTTGTTTATCAACGGTATTGAAGAGCGCGGCGAAAGCCAGGTTCATGTTCTTCTTCTAGAACGTGGTACTTTTCCCGATTTGGGAACCCGAGAGGGCAGAGGACTGGGGAGTCGGAATCGACCGACCAGGCTGATTTGCTAGTCAGCACACGCGGAGCTAGGCTCGATTTGTCGTTGTAGAACCGTGATTATAATCTGTCGTGATAATATCATCGCATAATGAATGGTGTAATTCTGCTCCTGCATCACGTCTCACGTGGAATCAAGCTAGCAGCGGAACAGAGAACCAATCTGCGATTGAATGGTTATTAAGAAATGAGGTTGTGTCCTCGTCCTATCAGGGTTTAAGCCCTAGATTCACACATGTATCGGACGGATGAGTGTGTGTGTATGAAAGGTCTGCATTTCTACTGTGTTTCTTAAGAAACAAAAGGCTACCGGACCGGGTGCACTTGCTTTAGGCTGGCCAAGCAAAGCACTCTGCAGACTCGATGCTTCGGCTAGCAAGCACGTCCTCCCTCCAGGTTCATTAATCCCTTCAATAATTTTCCTCCCGCAAATAATAATAATAATAATAATATTTTTTTTTGCGGGGAATCCCTTCAATAATTAAACCTAAATTTCATCAAGCAATTGATTCACAACCTATGAATTACTCCCTCAGACCAAAAATACTTGTAGGAGAAATGGTTACAGTATATGCTAAAGGAACTATATTAGAGCATTAGTCCTCAAACCGCGTCTTCCACATCCGTGTATCTCATCTCCGATCCCTTATATTCATACTAAACCATACAACGTGGATAAAGAGTATGTAGATCATAAAGCAGACATATGATCGGACATAGAAATGCATAATCCATTCACCAAAAGATCACGAACGGATCTTCGAAAAATCGCCAAAGTTCACTTAATGCACATAAAGGACTTTTTAAGTTCAAATTACATCTAAAAACTTAAAATTAAGGTGGAGCAGACGGATCTTCACCACTTCCTCCCCGGCCCTTTCCCATTCCGTTTGACGGCGCTACTGTAGGCGTCGGCGGTTGGTGGAGGATCGTGTGTTGTAGTCGTCGCCGTCGCAGGAGTCGGAGTCGGAGAGGATGATCAGCCCTTTGAGCCGCTGGACGGCCCTGTCCTGTTGCCGCTTGAGCTTTGCCAGCCGAGCCGCCTGCGACGCTGCCTCCTCCGCCTCACGCTCTGTCTGCTCAATGGCAAGCCAGAGCGCCTTGGCGTTCTTCCGACGGAGCTGCCGAGCGTCCGTCTCCATCGTCGTAAGTGACCGACGGTAGACCCAAGCGAGGAGCCGCTCGTCCTTGTTGGGCTCCGCCGGCAACCTGCGGCGGCGGCGCACAAACTGCTCCGTCACGTCCCTCTCCCTTGCCCGCTGCCAGTCACGACGGGCGGCGCACGCCTCCGATTCCGGCGTGTGCGTCCGGGCCAGAGGTGCGGGCACTAGCACCCACCCTGCCCGCATGGAGCAGCGGCCGGCGGGGGCAAGAGGCAGCGCAGACTGCGCACCCCTCGGGGAGCTTCTCGCGGGCCGGGAGGGGCCAGCTCCGGCATCCTCGCTGCGTCGACGGGCATGAGACGAGGCGGTTGATCTGGAACTGCCCTGCTTGTCCACCTTGGACCTCTCGAGGGCAATGCGGAGGGCCAGCTCCTCATCGACATCGAGGTCCAAGTCAGAGCGGCTGCCGGAGCTCGACATGGTCGTCGTAGTCGTCAGAGTGGATCGGAATCGAACCGGAGTAGCGGGAGAAGACGAGACGGTACAAGAGCAGAGTGAACTGAGTTAGGATTTCAGGATTGGATTTTTTTGTACTGACAGTGTGGGGTCGGGGTGGGCCAGGCTAACATGGCGGGCGTGCCTGGGCCGTCCCGTATCCTTCGTACATTTGGGCCGGATGTGAGGGGCGCCGGACAGCCCGTACGTTTGAGGCCGGTTTGAGACGTCCGTGCGCGTTGCCGCTCGGTGCCAGCTTCCCGTATTCATGCCACTTTAGAGCGCACCGCTCAACATTAAAGATAGCTCAGGACGGACGCGACCTCTCACTGCCTCTGTCATTGAAGTGGCTAGCCGGCCGAGGACGACGCCCGTGACGCGTCTACAGTGTCCACGCCTGTTCAATGCCGGAGACGCATGACTGGACGGGATGGATATCTACCATGCACGTTCAATGCCGATGTCCGTCCATATGCTGCCATTAACCAGGCTCGGCGCCCGAGAAACCCACTTCGACACCACACATTCACGCACCCGGACGCCTCGCCTAACTAGAATCCGCTATATAAAGGCGGCCACACTCGGCTAACTCCACACCACAACACAAGCCCCTTCCTATCCTCCTCCCTTGCACTGTATCCGCCATGACTATAGGCGGCGAAGCTCCCTGGGAGAGCCTTTCCACAGAGATGAAGCACGTCATGGCCGCCCTTGCCGCCGCCTGGCAGAGCCGCCATGCCACGCAGCTCGAGGCCGGCTTGCCGGTCAGCTCGCCCGAGGTCTCCGACGACAAGAACAAGACCATGATGAAGACGAGATCCGACGACACCGCTGTTGGGGAACGTAGTAATTTCAAAAATTTCCTACGTACACGCAAGATCATGGTGATGGCATAGCAACGAGAGGAGAGAGTGTTGTCCACGTACCCTCGTAGACCGTAAGCGGAAGCATTATGACAACGCGGTTGATGTAGTCGTACGTCTTCACGATCCGACCGATCCAAGCACCGAACGTACGGCACCTCCGAGTTCAGCACACGTTCAGCTCGATGACGATCCCCGGGCTCCGATCCAGCAAAGCTTCGGGGAAGAGTTCCGTCAGCACGACGGCGTGGTGACGATGATGATGTTCTACCGGCGCAGGGCTTCGCCTAAACTCCGCGACGATATGACCGAGGTGGAATATGGTGGAGGGGGCACCGCACACGGCTAAGAAACGATCCGTAGATCAACTTGTGTGTGTGTCTAGAGGTGCCCCCCTGCCCCCGTATATAAAGGAGCAAGGGGGGAGGAGGCCGGCCCTAGGAGGGGGCGCGCCAAGGGGAGTCCTACTCCCGGGAGTAGGACTCCCTCCTTCCTTGTTGGAGTAGGAGAAGGGGGAAAGAGGGGGAGAGGAGGAAGGAAAAGGGGGCCGCACCCCTTGTCCAATTCGGACCAGAGGGGGGCTGCGCGCCTCCTTCCTTTCGGCCTCTCTCCTCTATTCCCGTATGGCCCAATAAGGCTCATATACTCCCCGGCGAATTCCCATAACTCTCCGGTACTCCGAAAAATACCCGAATCACTCGGAACCTTTCCGAACTCCGAATATAGTCGTCCAATATATCGATCTTTACGTCTCGACCATTTCGAGACTCCTCGTCATGTCCCCGATCTCATCCGGGACTCCGAACTCCTTCTGTACATCAAAACTCATAAACTCATAATATAACTGTCATCGAAACCTTAAGCGTGCGGACCCTACGGGTTCGAGAACTATGTAGACATGACCTAGAACTATTCTCGGTCAATAACCAATAGCGGAACCTGGATGCTCATATTGGCTCCTACATATTCTACGAAGATCTTTATCGGTCAAACCGCATAACAACATACGTTGTTCCCTTTGTCATCGGTATGTTACTTGCCCGAGATTCGATCGTCGGTATCCAATACCTAGTTCAATCTCGTTACTGGCAAGTCTCTTTACTCGTTACGTAATGCATCATTCCGTAACTAACTCATTAGCTACATTGCTTGCAAGGCTTATAGTGATGTGCATTACCGAGAGGGCCCAGAGATACCTCTCCGACAATCGGAGTGACAAAACCTAATCTCGAAATACGCCAACCCAACATGTACCTTTGGAGACACCTGTAGTACTCCTTTATAATCACCCCGTTACGTTGTGACGTTTGGTAGCACCTAAAGTGTTCCTCCGGCAAACGGGAGTTGCATAATCTCATAGTTACAGGAACATGTATAAGTCATGAAGAAAACAATAGCAACATACTAAACGATCAAGTGCTAGGCTAACGGAATGGGTCATGTCAATCACATCATTCTCCTAATGATGTGACCTCATTAATCAAATGACAACACATGTCTATGGTTAGGAAACAAAACCATCTTTGATTAATGAGCTAGTCAAGTAGAGGCATACTACTGACTATATGTTTGTCTATATATTCACACATGTATCATGTTTTCGGTTAATACAATTCTAGCATGAATAATAAACATTTATCATG